CATCTTCACTATCATCATTATGATTACAAATGAAAACAAAAATCTAACTTACATTTAAAGATAATATTGTATTCGAAATATTTGTCTTTGTCTCTTCAAGTGGATTATCATTATTTTCATCTATATGTTTATGTTTTATTTTGTCGAAATGCATCTTCACTCTGAATATTTTTAACGTGTTTTCGTAGTGAACTTCGATCTGTATAAAATTTACCACAACCTCGAATTTGGCATTTATATGTTTTCTAAAAAAAAAAGAAAATTTCATTTGTTATTAATTTATTCGAAAACTAAAATTCAAATTTTATTTAAATGTGTTCATTTAATATGCTTTGTTCGATCTGATGAATGACTAAATGCTTTTGAGCAATCAGCATATATTCACATAGATATGGTTTTTCACCTATTCAGTTTCAAATAAGAAAAATCAACATTAATAAATAATTTAAAAAAATCACCTGTATGTGAACGTTCATGTAAACGTAAATATTCTGCACGTCTAAATGTTTTTGTACAACCAATATGTGAACACTGATATGGTCGATCTTGTGTATGTGCTCGTAAGTAAAGAAGTTATGAATAGGGTGATTTAAATAGTAGTCAATTACATGTACATGATTACCATTGACATAACCATGTATGAAAATCAGTTCGATTAGTATGAACAGATCGAATATGTTAACAAAAAGAACCAATAGGTATGCAAGTGAGAAATCGATAATTGTTGAAATTGGTACTTCTCGAAAAATTTTGATTTCTTTTATATATAGCTGACCAATATCAACAATTAGGTACAATATACATGTGTTAATCTAACATAGAACAAATCAGAGTTTTCGAGGGGACTGATTTCAGCTGTTAGGGATCCTCTGACAAAAAATTTAGTTAAAGTTTTGTACTTCTGTTAATTGTATTGGTGTTGAAAATAAAAGATCACAATCTGACCATTGACATTGAATTTCATTAGGTTCAATTAATGGAGGAAGAATCTTTTTAAATCATATTAATAAATCAATATTTAAATAAGAATTTAAAAACAAACACAAAAATGATTACTCTAGATGGAAGATAATCCGAAGGTTGAACAGTGGAAGTAAGATTCATCCATCACTTGAAGAGAGTGATGGTGTAGATAATCGAGAATGTATATAAATATATTTATAAAAACATAAATCTACTAAATATGTTGTGTAACTCTTCAGATTTATGATAAGAACAGAGTCAAACTTTATGATTTCGATGTCTTTCTTTGACTGTCATGTCTGCTTCTTTTTGTGTTACTTGTTAACAGTTTTTTTTTCCTTGAAACTTTTGATTTAAAGCTTATTGAAAAGAAAATTCGTTTTTAGAAAATTTAAAATTATTTGCTAGATAAATCTATTCTTTCAAGTCGATAGATGAACAAATAATATTAAGAAAACAAACTTACGTTTGATCGATGTTAATGATGGTAATGTACATGATTGGATTGGTATCATATACGACTTTTTAGTAAGTATTTTTGAATGTTGCTATTCATATTTTTATTCATGTGTTATCTGGTTTATTTACCAACAGACTGGCATCTTTTTTTTTCTTCATCATTAGATAAATGTGATAATGATTCTAACAGACAAGAATAATTATGTGCTATGTCAACACAAATAATTTTCTGGTTTTTTTCGCTCCTATTCAAGTTTATCAATTCACGCATTAATTCTAATGAACATTTCATTGTAATAAATTTAAATATAATTGTTTTGAAAATTATTCCACTTGATTATTAACATTTTAATCTATCAAAATTTATTCTGAGTAATGATCACACTATGTCTTCAGTACTTTGTTATATTATTGAAGAAGTCATTAGATAGAATATAAGCGAAAAAAAATAGTTTTAATATAAAAAGAATACAGAAAGAAAAAGAAACACTATCTAATCGAAATACATATATTAATTTGACGACATCAAATTAAACTAAATATGTTTGAATAGAATTCAGTCAGAGTTATAACTACATAGTAATGATTACCAGTCAACAAGAGTTTTCTTTTTAGAAAATGACTTGATTTTGCAGATATAGATGAACAGAAAATTCACGCTCACATT